ACAAGGCAAAAGAGCAACCTACACGACTTCCTGTTTTGCTCATGACTGATCGCTTTCAAGACATTCGCAATGTACTAACACTCCAACATCAAATTGAAGAGGAATGTTTGAACCAGTACATTTTTTCAAAATCTCCACAAGTCATTATTGTCAACTGCATGAGAGTTGATTCATGTGAACCAACTGAAGCAACTGGTGATGCCGTTTGCATTCCAAACTATTTATCTGAGAATGAACTGAAACTATTCGAGGAAAAGATGGAGGAGTTTAAGAAGACCAACAGAAACACTGAAACATTTTATGTGTCCATGATTGCGGACAACTTTTCACCTGGCTATATTCAGCGTGTTGTGAAAAATACCCTGAAGGACTTCAACTTTCAACACAAGCATGCTCAACTTTTTGCTGTTCTTGTCCTCTTGCATGTCTACTCCAAGAACGCATTGCTGTCGGTCTCTACATGTGAAGAGTTTCTTGGTCTGCAAACAAAAGCTGAGTCGTGTAAGGTTGAAGACGCATTTGAGAAGTTTTCCTCTCTTTTGAAAAGAAGCACAGTTGTTTCCAAAGTGACCTTTGAAGGCATGATGGTGATTCACTCAAGAATAGCTCAACACTGTTTGGAAGAGCTTTCCGCTTCTCATGGAGTGACAAAAGCACAAATTGCTAACCTTCTGCTCACAACTGACTTATTTTATGAGAAAACTCCGGAAAAACTAAAATTCATGCAGGATGTTCAAGACATGTTGATGACGAGGCAATATTCAGCCAAGCATGAAGACTTCTTTTTTTCACGTCTTATCCAAGATATAATGAAGGAGACCCCAGGGATGGAAGAGACTGTTCTACTCAATGCAGCAGAGTGCCTCAGAGAAGAAGAAGCCATATTCCAGCTCCTTGCCAGGTACTATTGCATCAAGAAACAGGATTTTACCAAGGCCATGGTTTGGGTGAAGAAGGCCAAAGATCACTCAAGGGAGGACTCCTACATAAGTGATACAGTATCACAGGTACTTGTTTTTGAAGACAACAATGATCCCATCAAGCCAGATAGTCTTGATAGGTTTCTTACATTGGCTGAGTCTGTAGCAGAAGCTTGCAAAAACACACAACAAACTCCAAAAGAAGAGGCCGCGACCGAAACACAAGAACAAACTGATTACAATACCTACAACACTGCTGGCCATTTTGGTGAACTTCAAACTGCAGCTACAGTCATAGAAATACTGCAAAAAATACCATTTAAGGCAGGTTTTACTTACAGCAATTGGCTTACTCAAGTCTTATTGGGTAAAATTATCATTAAGGATTTGTCAAAAGAGAACCCTGGGCTTGAACTCAAGCAATATTGTGATGATTTGCAGAAACACGAGCGCTTTCTTCTCCAACTGAAAGACACGATGAAGCAGCATTTCGTTTTTTTCAACAATTTATTTGTCAACTTAGTTCCCCTTTCTGCTGGGAAAGACAAACAAAACGACCTGACAAAGTGCAAGGTTTCCAGTTACTTTCAGCAATATACTGAACTCTTTTGTGAGCTGGACAAGAACAAGGACGTGAACCGCACGGTTAATGTTGAGCAGATGCGCCAATTTTTGGAGAGCAACAAAGGTGATTCCTATGCAGGCCTACTTGAGTATTTGTATAAGGAAGACTCTGCATCAACTCTTGAAGAGATCATCCAGATGTATAATTTCATTCTGAAGTCTAAAGAGGCTAGACTGATGGACACAGTTAACTTTATCTACACCAATGTGATTCTTGCCAAAGTCGAACCTAAATCTCGGTACATCATGCCCTACCAAGACCTTTGTAATTTACTCAATAAAACTGATGGCTCCATTCTGCCATTGTACTACATCAAAGTTTTATTGTTATGGAGCACCAACAATAACTGTGATTTACAAGATTTGGTGTCAAAAATGAAGGAGTCATACTCAACTGAGCTGAAACCTTGGTCTAGTGGAAAGAAAGCAGCTGTCCATTTTTATCTAGGGGAAAAAAAAGGTTATGATGGCCTGATTTTCCATAGGGAAATTAACAGCGGATCAGAGCAGAACATCTCAACTCAATGGGATGATGAAAATATCTGGAGGAAAATGAACGAGAGTAAGAAGCTTTGCAGAGTTTCTGGCAAAATTGCCAACGATTTGATCAGGGTTAAAGGTGTGGAGGTTGATCCCATTTTCAGAAGACAGTTACACAAAGAATCGGACAAAAGCGTGACATTTTTTATCGGGTTTTCAATTAATGGACCAGTTGCACTTGACATGAAAGTAGATGGTTCAAATGCCTAATGTAATGGATCCGACTGATGACCTAAGGCATGGACCAAAGCCCTGTAGTCGTTCTTAGACGTTATTTCAGTTTGCCTCATTAACATATCTTACACACTTCAATATAAACGAACATTTTAATCATTAATGTTGCATGTTTTTGGGCTGTGCTTTAGCAGAAATGCCTGATTGTGCTGGATGTGAATTTTGTGATTTTTGTCATGTGAGAGGTTTCTGAGAGTCTGGCCAATCTCTCCAATGCATTCACTTCCAGAGAGCATGCCTGTATTGTATTTCAATTATATTGGGATTGTTTCTTTTTCTTTATATACATTTCACATTCATCTTAATGCATTGTGCATGCATTGATACATTCATGTACATTTACGCATTTGTTTTATATTCTTTATATTTGAATTACTTTTGCTATTTACACTCAAAATTATTTTTTTTAAAAAGCCTGTAAAAATAAGGCCCAGTGTACCATGTTAATATGAAGGAAGTTTCCATATTGATTTTACACAGGGGTTTACATGTATTTTTAATTTTGATTTGCATTGTGCTGTGTTTAGGGTTGAAGGAAATCCCTGTAAAGTTAATGGAAAAGGTACTGGTAATTTTCTGCTAGGACATTTTCTGTTTTTCTA